GATGGTTTCGATGTTGATTCGGCATCGTTTCGAACGATAGATCATTTTTCGCTGAGCATTTCTCATATTGTTGCTCGAGTGAGTGAAACGTAAGTGTATGCGTGCAAGATACAATAAATATTGGTCGATCCGTCTCTCAAGAAATTGCAACAACACCAAGTCGTCGCATCTTTACGAGGTAAGTGAGTGACAGAAATGTCGTATTCCTAATTAAATTTCGAGACGTTTTCACTGTCAAAATCTCCGAAGCTTAGTTTTTGCAATTATAAAATAGTCAGTGAGTGAGTGAGTGAGTGAGTGAGTAAGAGAGAGAAAGAGAAATGTGCGTGTGCAACGCTGCAGCTGATCGCTCAGCTGACCGCCCCGCGTAAGCCGCCGGGCGCCGCGGCGGTGCGCCGCTCCTGTCTGCCTCTTGTACTCGGCCAGTTATTCGCTGACTATTTCTTTGAATAATTCAAAAACTAAGCTTCGGAGAACATTTTGGTAAGAGAAAAATCGTCTTAGAATTTAATCAGGAATACGACATTTCAGGGACACTATACCTATTTTGAATCACCCTGTATATCCGTTCGATGACGCTATATATCCGTTCGATGAGACTGTGACGATAAAGGGGTGCATATCGCAGGAAATTCTTCTTTCAATGATAAAAATAATACTTTATTCGTAAAAATGATGATTAATTATAAATAATCTCCTAACGCATCTAAATTTCTTATCAATACCTTCCTCTCAAAATCGATCTCCTCCTCTACGCAGTCTTGATATGTTCCACTAAAATATAAGTAATTTTGTATACAAAGTTCACAGTCTATTGCCGGTCGAGCTGTTACTATTATTTTATTGCATTTGTGGCATTGTTCCTTCTGCTGCATTGTCGTTGCGAAAAATGGCCCACATAATGTGTGCCAATTCTCCAAGCGCGCGTAATAATCGAGCTCCTCTTCATCTTCGTTCGTAGCGCAGTCTGCGCATATGCGCCTGCATGGATAATTTTCCTCGAAATAGTGGCTTCCGGGTTCAAGTGCCCGAAAGCAATGACATTCTCGTAAAACATCGTAGAATTCATGTTGCCGGGGATCTACCCCGTCAATTACAATATCCGCTGGTGGTTTCATCTTTATTTGTTTATTTTTTCTAAAAAATATATATAAAATAAAATTAGTGTGTGTGTTTTATTCAATTTTACCTTACATTGTACTTGTCGAATGGAATTTTCTATTATCATTACAAAAAATAAAGTTTGTTTACCTCAAGTTTGTGGTCGCCTTCTCCAACACGTGTACTGGCACACTGGCACTTTTTACTCGTACTTCGAGAGTACTAAGAGTACTATGAAGATTGAGTTCGTACAGCGACTGTTGCAATCGCAAAGCGTCACAAAAAATAACAATTTGAAGGATATGATCCATATGTTTCGCAATATCTGTTTGATTAGACGCTCACGTCATATATCCGTTCGATGAGACTATGGCGATACAGTGGTGCATATCGCAGGAAAGTTTCCGATTTGAAAGGTATAAATACATCGTTAAACGTACGAGACCTGTCAAAGTCATACAGAATCTCAAAGTGCGCGGTCTCAAGTTGTAAAAGTATCGAGGCGTCGTCTGTTCACACACACACACACACAATGGATCAACTACATGACCTAATGGTCCTGACGGATGCTCTCAACACCACTGTGACGGAGTTCACCGAAAGCGTTGAAACTCTATCAGGAATGGTGCGTGAGATATATAAGGATCTGGAACGTTTAGAAAACACCATGCCTAAGTTCGTGACATTAGAGGTGCACATACGGGTGCATGACACGATGTTCGCAACATTGTAAGTATACATCGTTTCGTGTAATTATACAGTTTAATTATGTACCATATTCGTGACAAAGTGTTTCCGTTTGGTTTCAGAAAACAAATATTTGCCTTCGTCAAGGAAATGAATATGCCTTTGAACGACTATGTACGACGATTAACTGAGGTGCGTGGGGATATGCATGAAACAAGATCGAAGAAGGCAAAGCCAAGTGGATCTTCGTAAGTAAGAAATGGTTTTTTTATTTTCAACACTGTATGTAACAGAGTTGTGAGAAATATGTACGTTTGTTTTCAGAGGAAAGAGAGATGACCGTACTCATGAATGACAAAGAAATATATCAATGCGAGGCTGGATTCATTATAAATTAACCTGGTTTCATCAATCGTGTCGGCAGTACGGTTCACACACCGAAGCCGTCATGTATGTCAACAAGTTTGGCATGTCTCTGAAGAGACATGAAAACGATGGAATTGCATTGAACGAAACATGTTCGTCAATCGCATCCTTGCGGAGGTACGTGCTCGAAAATACGTTGAATCTAAACACTGGTGACTACGACGGACGCTCGCGTAAGATACGACGTATAGGTGAACCTCACGACGAGAACGACGCGACGAGTAAAAACTATGTGGATACTGCGATTCACGCGCTTTCACATCGATTGGAAGGTCAGCTGCACGATTTGGAAGAGAACGCAAAGACAACGCTCGAGAGCAACCAGTCTACAATGAATAAACATGAACGTAGACTACAGGAGTTGTATGACCTGATAGGGCAAAACGTGATGCTCACAGCGAATAACAGGATACTCGTGGACGCGCAAGAAAAAAAGTTGCAAACGTTGCAACAAACACTCGGCGAAAGAATTGACAAAAGAACGCTCGACATAAATATGGCCGTCGTCGATGTTACTAACACGGCATCGAATCTGAAAACTCATATTGGCTTACACAACAAACAGTGGCTTATTCTGCAGACCGCTGTGAAAGAGTTGATAGCAGCGTTGCAACATAAGCATGGAGAACATCCTCGATTACAAGAGATTCTCGATGATCTTTTAAAATCTGAATAAACAGAGAGGACGATGAGCGTCGAGAAACGAAGACTCGTGGAGGAGCTGCACGCCCCGGCGCGGAAGAACTTTCCACGACGACGTGTTACAGTACGAGGATACGACGATCTGTGGCAGGCTGATGTGGAAATGCGACCGTACTCGCGATTCAATAAGAGTCACAACTACATACTGACAGTCATCGATGTGTTAAGCAAATACGCGTGGGCTTTGCCGCTCAAGAGCAAGGGTGGAAAGGAAGTGGCCGCGACCCTCTCTAAACTGTTTCGCGAGAGCACGCGATGTCCGAAAAATTTACAAACGGACAAGGAGAAGGAGTTCTACAACGCTGACGTACGAGAAGTGTTACAAAAACGTCGCATCAACCATTACTCTACGTATTCGGTGATGAAGGCCTCGGTAGTGAAACGATTCAATCGCACGCTCAAGAACGACATGTGGAAAATGTTTACACTCAACGGATCATACGTATGGATCAACGAACTGTCAAATCTGCTGTAGAGGTACAATCGTCGCATACATCGAACGATCCGTATGCGACCTGTAGACGTGACACCTGAGGCTGCTGAGAGACTCCTGTCAACGGTGTACAGTCGAACGAAGATAGCCGCTTCAGGAAGATTCAAGATCGATGACGCGGTACAGTGGGGAGCAATGAGGTTGCGACACTTTTTTTTTGGATGAGTTTACGAACGCGCAAAAAAATTCAGGATGCGAATCCCTGTCCGCGCTCATGCGCGGTGAGTGATCATGGTGCTGTCAAATTTGTGTATACAATGTGTAACATAAATGTATATGCGGCGGCAAATCCATAATAAATAACATGATTATTCAGTTGATTCGCGTTAACTCGCTGTCGGATCAGATCTTTCGCCGGCTTGTCTCTTGGTTATACTAATGAATAATATAGGATGATTTCTAAATACAAAATCAAATAAATATAATAAATATAATTTATAAATAAATAAATAAATAAATAAATTTTAATTAATTTAAATAAATTAAGTAAATAAATAAATTTAAATGAAATAAATAAAGAAAGAAATGACATTAATTTAATAAATATATGTATAAAATGACCATATAATACCTTGTCTTCACTAATATTTTTTTAAATTTGTGAATCAAATATCCAACGGCAATTATACACATATAATTATGTATGAAAAGTTTTTAAATCAATAAATTTTCTACTAAATCGCCGTCGGATATTTGATTCACAAATTTAAAAAAATATTAGTGAAGACAAGGTATTATGGTCATTTTATACATATATTTATTAAATTAATGTCATTTCTTTCTTTATTTATTTCATTTAAATTTATTTATTTACTTAAATTATTTAAATTTATTTAAATTTATTTATTTATTTATTTATTTATAAATTATATTTATTATATTTATTTGATTTTGTATTTAGAAATCATCCCACATTATTCATTAGTTTAACCAAGAGACAAGCCGGCGAAAGATCTGATCCGACAGCGAGTTAACGCGAATCAATTGAATAATCATGTTATTTATTATGGATTTGCCGCCGCATATACATTTATGTTACACATTGTATACACAAATTTGACAGCACCATGATCACTCACCGCGCATGAGCGCGGACAGGGATTCGCATCCTGAATTTTTTTGCGCGTTCGTAAACTCATCCAAAAAAAAAGTGTCGCAACCTCATTGCTCCCGACTGTACGCGTGAGCAAATTCAAAACGATATTCGAAAAAGGCTACACACCCAACTGGACTACAGAAATATTTCGCATCGCCAAAGTACAACAGACTAATCCTGTGACGTATCTATTGAAAGATTATCGCGGACAACCAATAGCTGGGGGTTTCTACGAGCACGAATTGTCACGAGTCGCCAATCCCGTTTATCTAGTGGAAAAGGTTCTACGTAGAAAGGGTAATGAGGTATACGTAAAGTGGCTAGGAATGGATAATTCACACAATTCATGGATACGCAAAACAGATGTATTATAACAAAAGCTTTTATTCATGTATACAATAAAGGTATAAATTTGTATATATGTATTATTATTATTATGGCACCCTGTAATGTCCCCAAGGCAAAGTATCGTAGGATTCGAGCATGACGTATCGCTTGTCGTCGTGAGGACTGAGAGCGAGTTTCGTTTCGGAAACGGTGTACACCTCATGCAGTCTCGACTGCACGCAGAATTGCGATCTCGACTGCTCCGTCATATCGCGCAAACATTGCATGAAATCGTCGAACGTTATCGTTCTCTCAACTACGTTTCTCTTTACACCCTTTATCTTTTTCGTGTCGCTCATTCCGAGCACTCTCACGGCATACATCTTCGCTCTCAAACCTACGAATTCTATCATAATCGCGCCACGATTCTCATCCTTCATCAGACCCGGAACACTCTTGTTCGCGCGCGGCATACCGTACGCGTTGTTCTCGGCATAGTCGCTCGTGTCGAATCTTTCAATGGAGCGTTTCATATCCTCATAAATATCGTCACATTCGACGAAATAAATCAGACTGTCCGTATCTGTGTACATTACCTTACACACACCGCGATACAAGGGCACCATATAATCATAATGAAAATCGTATAATCGCGTTTTTGATATTTCCAGAATGGCCATGCCAACCTAAATTGGTTTCATGAGCTTTACCTCCAGTTTCCGTAACTCAACGGCCATCAGATCCTCGGAGAAAATGCTTCTACTGTGGAAATTCGGTCTTGAAATTAGCGCTTCCGCTCCGTACCTTCCCTCCCAACGCGTCACAAGACGCACGTCAACGTGCTCGCGCACGTTTTCCATTGTCTTCCCGTAAACCGCGTTGTTCATAAGCTTATACATATTGCTCTCGAATTCGTTATTCGCACGAGTTCTAAACATTGTATTCAGTTCGATGTATCCACGCAGCCATGGTGATTGTACAAATTGTAAAACGCGATGAATTTTAAGTATACGCATCCTATAACGCACACATTGTTGCAAATTGCGATAATGTATGACATAGCGCGACTTATCGTGAAGCGTCGCTAGAAGCTTATCGGTAACCTTACCGGGGGGTGAGGCGCGCGTTGGGCAGAACGGAAGGTCCGCGTGAGCGTCGTGGAGCTCGCGCGGATACGCAAGATCCACCTCCATAATGTAGCTGATATCGGAATCCGCGGTCACCGACATTACGTCTAGACTCTCCACGTCGCTGACCCATTGAAATTGCGCGTACGGCAATGATTCACACATAGCCCATCCGTAGAGATTATTCACGTCATAGTACATGAGATATGTCGACGGTTTCAACGGATCGTGTGGCGAAAGATACTTATTATTAGCTCGCGCGTATCTGTTGGAACACTGACTCAGACCACCGCGTACACCACGTTCAACAAAGAGAAGCATATCGATATCGGTCAACAATTCGAATTGAACACCCGTATATTTCAACATAGCATCCCACGTGTACCCCGGTAACGTGTAATAATGAGCTGGATCCAAATCGTAACTCCGTATGCATTTGTCGCGAAAATTCTCAAAAACGTCTGCCAACAACAGAACGTCTGTTTTCAAATATAAATCGCTGTACTCGTCAAGATTACTAATGCGGAAACGTTGCCACACATTGACTGCGTGCTCGTAATCGTTATCGCTGACGCTCTCACCGGTCAGCGAACTGTAGAAAGCCTCACGGGATGGTAACTCGGTTTCGAGCAACCGATCGATGCTATCAACATACTCGTACGGGAACGTACCCTTGTGCGTGAGCAATTCGAAATCATTGTCATCGAGATTCGAGAACGCTGACCGTGTTATTAGCAGTTCGTTCTTGTCTAGGTACGACACCAATTTCGCGAGACTGGCCCCTAAGAATTTAAACGAATCTACAAATCGCAGTTTCACACAAGTGTCTCCCTTCCTCAGCGACGTATTCTGAACAACTTTCGTGAACGAGATGTACGTTTCTTTGGTCAACGGTAACAATTCTACTCTACCCTCGAAACTGTTAGCGATCTCTTTGATGATAAAGTGCGCATCGTAACCTGAGAGGTTGTGAAAAAACACAGGAATTACGAAAGACGTTTTGAAATTTAGATTACAACGCGAATGAGCCGGACCCCTGTAACGCCCGGTTATGTGACAATGATCACGCACGCGTTGATCCCCCATGTCAAACGGTTTTCCACATATATGACAAAGAGTCGCGTTCCAAAAGCTACGCTCCTCGTCTGACGTGAGCTGCGTCATAGACACGATCGCGTCGAGAGTCTCCTTCGCGCGATGCGCGAGAGCGTTCAATTCTCGCGCGAACCATGATATGCAGTCTTCACCACGATAAAATTTGTACGTCGACGCATTCTCGTCTAGTACACATCGCAAGTAGTAGCCAACGCTGAATGCTGTATGATGTTGATAAGTAAATCCGTTTCGTGGTATTAATTCGCTCTCCTCCTCCTCCTCCTTCTCTAACGCGCACTCCAAATCGGCGTATATCACGTAGGGAAGTCTCTCTTTTCGTTCGTAGTTGCGAAAGTCGAGCCATTTGTCATCCTCGTTCGGAAGAACGATCGCGCATTCGTTCATCCTTTCGCAATCCACGATGTGAATGGACAATCGTTCCCTCGAGTGGAAGTAATGCAGACATCTGGAATGCATTATACAATGTAAACAATTCACATTTCTCTCTCTTTCTCGAGGTACTTACCGATCGCAAATATACTTCTTGTGGTTTCCTCCGGATAACTGACTTCCAACCAATCGCGATAAATTCTTTATCCACGCGAAATGACCCTCGTGAACGTAGTTTCGCGTATCCGACAGATACAGCAAATTTATATGAATATCTCTTTTATGATCAGTGAGACGCAGAGGAACGATCGTTCCATCCTTTTTTTCATCCTTCATGGTAAACACATTGATGGACATATCGTTTAAACGTTCGAATCTTGAAATTCGTTTCAGGGTCATAGGAAAGTCTATTCCATCGAGCTTTAACACCGTTTGATAATCGGGATACTGACTGCATCTCGAGGTATGCTTCTCAGCGGGATACAAAGCCGCAACCACAGCCCACGCGAAACATGCGTTATCCAGTAATTTCACGTTCACGACCGCTCTCTTCAACTTTATCACTGGCGGCATATCAATCCAACATCCAACACGCATAGGATTACATCTGTTAACATTAATCATTAAATTCATTATGCGTGACGCCCACCCACTGTCACGCTCCTGAAACTCCTCCAATGCAGCCAAAGTCGTATCGATCACAGTCTTGTTGTACCATTCAAGCAGATCTGTGGTAGGAAAGAGCTGTCGGTTTTTCGTGGTGATGCTCTTTACAGCAGTC